TGGATGAGTTTTTCATCTTTGCCTTTCCCAGCATGCTCCGCGAAACTTGTTTCCTACGGACAAGTTGAGTTTTTTCCGGTTGTCTGTCTCCTGCTTCGGTACAGCGCGTATGTACTCAGTCTTTACGTAAGTTGGGGCTTCAGTCGGCCATTTTGATATTACGTCTCAGCTTGTGTTTGGTTTAATTCTCGATTTATTCGACAGCCAAAGAATTGTTGAAGCTTTCGTGGTGGCAGTACGAGGATACAAAGAATGCAGGCGATTTCGTGATAATGAAAATACTAACCGATTTTCTCTAGAAATTACATAAATCGTTGAGTTAGATTGTATTCGACTTACACCCTTGTTCCATTGAAAATTTAATCCTGGAATCTGAAGCGAAAATAATAAATTTTTATTGACTAATTCTGTGTGGATTTCAACCTCTTTTCCTACTCACTGAACGTGTGATGTAAGCACAAATCGATGAAAATTGAAATATTGATTATAATTGACTCCTGGATTTGACCTTATCATGGAAGATTATGTTGTCATAATGAATAGAGATTTAACCTGGTCGCATAGATAACGATCCTGACTTATCGGCATTTGTGTCGGGCGGCTTTACATGTGAATTACGTCGCTTTTCCATGGAGGAAATGGAGTGGTAAAAGGTCGTTTATATATTTTTCTCTAGGACTGTGACACGCGAAAGTTGCCAGAGCCGACAGGAACAAGTACATCGTGATCTCATCCTCGTGTGTCTGTCCTGTTGTGGGTCTCCGGGTGCTACGTCTTGTACAACGCGAACCCGCTTAAGTCATTCAAGGTGAGTTGCATGAAATGTTCCGTCCTCTGAAGTAGAGAAAAACAAAACTTATATTGCGTGCTGTTACCGATACAACGTGACTTGGCCTACGTCACACAAGACGAGATGCAACACTGAACTAAGTATTCTGAGATAATGTTTTCCATCGTGTCGCAAAATGCATTAGTTTCTATTAGAATTTGAAGGCATTTGACGGTCGTCTCACTGCAGGCTGGCTTCTTGTTTGTTTTGAAGGAGGCGATGACCCACATCAAGGGTTGGCCGTGCACGTCTGTACGCCTCGTTAAATGCCAACCTCCTGAAGGCGACCTGTTGTCCGTTGAGTCCATACGCCCCAGGGAACTCGTGGAGCCGCGGCAGACTCCTGTAAGTACGCTGAGATGTTATTTTGATTGTTCTGTGATACTGCCCACACAGATGAAGTATAGGATTCCGTCTGCTTCTAGGTCAGTGGTAACAACCACGTCACACTCGTTCAAGACTTGAGGTTTACGCAGCGGTGAGGATGATGGCCGCTTACATCGTGATGTCGCTTACGCCGTGCAACACGACAACCCGAAAATTATATTGCTGCTAGCAGCGAACTAAGGACTCCTGTGAGTACAATGAGAAATTATATTCCGTCTTTGTCAGATCGAGTTTCCGATCGTACGAGGTGCGATCGGAAAGGTTCAAGACTGTGTCAATAGAAGGCGAACCGGATGTAGTACGAGCTTCTGCCGCTAATGGGTGCGGCCTACATTCATAGTGAATCAGTGTGCCAGCCGGCATCATCGAATTAGCATTTGTTTCTTAGTTACGAGCGTTTTGGTAGTGCGTTACACCGACCCTCCTGCGATTTCGGAATGGCGTGTGCATCAAATTTTGCCAAAGACTCGCCAAAACGGCTACGGAAACCTATGAAATGCTAAAGCAAGCATTTGGGGAGTCCGCAATGGGTCGTGCACAAACTTTGGTGTGGCATTCACGTTTTAAAAATGGCCGAACCGCTGTCGATGATGACGAGCGTTCTGGACGACCATCTTCGAGCACAACGCCCGAAAATGTTACGAAGATCGACGTCGTACCATCAACGACTAATGCGACATTGTTGGGATAGGCTATGGGACATGTCAGCTGATTCTAAAGGAAGAACTCCACAGGCGACGCATCCGAGGTGCGATCGGAAAGTTTCTAGACTGCGCCTATAACAACCCGTACACTTATCTCAGGTATTAAATTCATCCATCACCCTCGAAGTAGTTCCCCTGGGAGTGAACACAACGATCCCAGCGCCGCTGCCAAGCCTGGAAGCATCCCTGGAAATCTTTCTTTGTCAGCCTGTCAAGCACCATCTGGGATCGTTGTGTTCACTCCCAGGGGAACTACTTCGAGGGTGATGGATGAATTTAATACCTGAGATAAGTGTACGGGTTTTTATAGGCGCAGTCTGGAAAATTTCCGATCGCACCTCGTATATAGAGAAGCGACGTAATTATAAATTCTTGTCATTATGTGAGGCATTATGTCTGCTTTCAGGTGATTAGCGGAGCCCTCTTCACATTCACGGTAATTATGATATCATCATCATTATTCTTCATCACCGCCGTGAACCCTCTGAACCTGAATCGAGCCTTGCAGGCGGAAGGAAGATTTTTCTACGTCTCGCTCCTGGACGCTTCTCTGTGACGTCATCTGACACGAGACGTCTGAAATGATGAGGCACCAGTGAGCGATGGACTCGGGTGAGTACAGTGATACGTTATTTCAAGGTTGATTCAAAATTATAATGACTTTCATAGATAGTGGTCTGTGGGAAATTAAAAATTAGTACACTTTCAGCATCAGATCAATTTCTTCCGTCTCTCTTGTTGTAAACATACACGGCAGTCATCGTGTAGCTGACAGTCGTTTAACTGGTCAAAGCGTTTCTCTTCGTGTATGAAAACAGAAATTTTATTACAGCGTTTACAAAAACTGACTGGTCCACTTTCTGAAGCAGAGGAACGTAGCCTGCGTCCTTACTCCATTTCTCGTGAATAATTTCGCAAAGAAATGCTGTGTACCTTCAGAAATTGGTGTTAGGTGGACCGAGTATTGCGTATGGATTAACCCCCTCTGCCAGGGACGCGACTGAATAGGCGTCCATCACGTAGTGATGGAATTAGAGAGAGCTGCTAGAATGTAGTGCTGTATAGAGCAGAGGTTCCGAAAGTGTGGGGCGTGTTGTTTGTATGAAAAACTTTTTGTAACGAAATTTGGAGAAACATTTTTAACATCCTACGCTTGATTGAGGCAGTTCAGCATTGAACCTGCGTTGTATCCCGAAGGATGGTGATGGGATACGGGATCGTAGACCGAGCGGAAGTCTGTTGATTGGGTGCGTTGGACACTTAAGAATTGATGTTCAAGTCAACTTGTAGAAATACAGTAGAGATATAGATTGAATTATAGTTAGACCAGTTTACAGTATCTCGAGTCAGAAAACTATGAAGCAAGACTGTGTTAGGCGTAATGCAGAGTAGAACGTGACGTTCGGTAGTGAATTCCGGTGTAGGCCGCGTTTACATGTGCCAAGGTGCGGCAGACACGGAAAAGTTTAGAAAAAATATTAAAAATTTTCAAACTTTTCGAAAAATCAAAAAATGCTGGAAATTGGCTGAAAAGCGCACAAAACCAATTGTTTTTTGAAACATTTGAAAAAAATTTGAATGTGAAATTTTTCAAATTTTCTTGGTTTTGTTCGCATTTCGGACAATTTCCAGCGTTTTTTTGATTTTTTGAAAATTTTGAAATTTTTCAAAATTCCACCCCCTGATGCCTTCCAGAACCGGTGT